TGGAAGTCGATGAAGGCTATGTGGACCGCGTGCCTGTTGTCGAGAGCTCGGGTCCAGCTCTGGAGAGATTGCAGCAAGTTTGTCGTGCAGGATCTTCCTTTCCGGAACCCATGTTGGCATTTCGATAGCAGGCCGTGAACTTCCAGGAAATGCATCAGTTCACTCTTTATGATCCTTTCCATAACTTTGCAGAGAATGCATGTCAAGCTTGTGGGCTTGTAATTTTTCGTCGCTGCTCTGCTACATCCTTTGTGTAGTGGAGTAATATGCGCCAGCTTCCAATCGACAGGAAGTGTTCCAGTGTCAAATGACGTTTGAAAGAGCATCGACAAAGGCACAGAGAGCTCACTGGCAAGTTCCTTCAGAAGCTTGGATGGAATCTCGTCTGGTCCTGGCGACTTCGATTCGTTCAATGCCTCTAATTCTCTTCGGACAATGCCTTCTGAGAAGAGTATATCACTGACGCTTGGGGTCGACAGTTCTTCTGTGGAGGGAGGAAGGAACCTTGCCTCGTTTGTGTAGACTGATTGGAAAAACCGTGAAAAATGCGCAGCTTTATCCCTACTATCAGCGATCTCAACGCCATCAGTAGTCTTTATGAAGGGGATTTGATGCCTGTTCCTTGTAGTTTGTCGGAGGTAGCTGTAGAGCAATTTTGGGTTCTGAGTTGCTTTTTGTAGCAAGTTCTTCCCGAATTCTCGCCGCGTCTGCATTATCAGCTTCCTCAGTTTTTTCCTCTGTGTCTTGTAGGTGTTGAAGCATTCAGCTTGTCTAGTGACGCAGTATTTTCTCCACAATTTGTGCTTCCTGTTGATTTCTTTCTTAAGGTTGCTATTTAGCCACCCAGGGCGTTTGTTCAGTCTTAAACTAGTCAGTGGGCAGTGGTTGTTGATGAGCTGCAGAAGGACATTCTTGAACAGCTCCCAGTCACCATTGGCATTTCCCGTAAAAAATGAGCCCCAATCGAGACCGAATAAGTTTGTCCTCATCTGATTAAGGTCGCCCCGCCAAACACTCTGTCTTTTGTGGTCTGGAGTATGTGAAATGGAGAATAACGAATAATCCCACATAAGCACTACGTGATCACTTCGACCATGAGGCGGCATGGAGGTAATCTCGTCTATGCTGTCTGGTGTTTTCGTAAAAACCAGATCCAGGCCGTTTGCTCTTTGTCCTTCACGTGTTCTCGTTGGGAGCATTACATGTTGTGTGCGGGACGTATTTAATGTTTTGTTCAGCAGACGGTAATCGAATGCTCATTTTGGACCTGACGTTTGGAGGGTATTCCAGTTTGCACCTGGTGCTTTGATGTCGCCCATGATCATGATGTTAGGTCGACTGGAAAATTTCTCCAACTGCTCCAATAGTTGAGTGTCGGCGATGTGGTCTGTCCTAGGTGGTCGGTAGAAAGTGAGGACATCGAGACACGGGGACACGGTAGCCTTGATGATCAACCTAATATCTTCCGTGCCGCTCGCAAACTTGGTGGTGTTTTCCGACACTGCCAGGCCTTCGTTCTCATACACAACTATACCACCACCCTGACGATGTTCCCTGTCCCTCCGATAAATTTGGTATCCAGGCAGGGCTACTTCGCTATCGCTAATATTCCCGGACAGCCAGGTGTCGGTTACTGCTAAAACATCTGTGGAGGGCTTGGCAAGGCAAAGTTTTAGCTCGTCAAGTTTCGATATGAGGCTTTGGGCATTCGTGTACAAGCACCTCAGTTTTGCACCAGCCGAATTTCCCGTTGCATTTGTTACTGTTTTGAGCATTACTCCGTTATCTCGTATGCCATGTTCTCTGGGCTCTTCCGCTACCTGGTGGGTTTTATTAGTGTCCGTTGCATCATTCAGATCACTGGACGTTACGCGATTACTTGTGTTACCGCTTTGAGCAGATGGTTCAACGAAGGTATCTGTGTCAGCAGGATAGCTGCCGTCGTTCTTAGAATTACTGGCTTGTTCCACTGAAACGGTATATATTTCTCCGTGAAGATAGCTAGACTGTCTACGCTCCCCTTCAGCCTTGATTTTAACTCCAAGGCAAGTTCCCGGCGTTTCAACCGTTCCCTGGTGAATAGTCTGGTTGAAAAAAAACGTGTCCGAAGCTATGGAACGTATCGCTGGAGAGCTCGGCGTGGGTATCGCTCACCGTCCGACAGCGACCATGCGCAGCAAAATCATGCAAGTGAAGGATCGCTTAGACGTGGGAGAACAATCGGGTGTCGTCTATCAGATCCCATGTCAGGACCGCCCTCGCCACTACACAGGACAAACCGGACGACGACTTAGCTCACGAATAACGGAGCACAAACGGGCGGTCCGGAGAGGCGACCCGTTGTCTCAGGTCGCCACTCACACCCTGGAGGAAGGCCACGAATTCAACTTTGCGAGCATGCGGATAGTGGCGCGGGCCAACAATAAGACAGGACGAGAACTGTTAGAGGCCTGGGTGTCTGACACCAACTCTATCAACAGGCACGTTGATATACCCCCCTGCTATCACGCGCTCCGTTCCCGCGGCCAAGGGGCGAGACCCGATTTCCAGCCAAGGGTGCACGCAGTCACGCCACCGTGAGACGGCGTGGGACTCAACTTATCGCGAATACCACCCTCTGCACTCATATCTCCCCCCCCTTCATGGCGTGACTACAAAAACCGCTCATTTAATGTTGTCTTCTCACAGTCTCTGACGATGGCCTCCTGTACGAGACCGAAAGCTCAGACCAATAAACCTACTGTCCCAGAGATCGGGTCTTCATCTTCTTTTCAAAAAAACCTGGGATTCGCATATTCGCTTCCATCCTGTTTGTGTGTGTTTCTGAGGTCGGTTTTTTTTAGAGAGGATCAACTTGATTCGCACTTTGTTCTCCAGCATAATTTTGAGAGGGCGAGGTGGTTGTAAATTTCCTCTGTCTTTACTCCGTCTTCCTATCCAAATGGCTTCAGAACTTTTATTTCCAAGTCTGCCTGGAGTAAGTGATTTAGTACACAATGAAAACAAGCAAGGTCCTCCGAGACACGGTCTTCAGGTCTGAGTGCATTAGATTCCGGCAAACCGTGAATAACAAGACACTGTTGGCGAGCATGGTCCTCCTTACTTGGCCTTTCTGGTGAATTCGTTGCATGTGGGCGAGGACGATTTAAGGAGTCGTCGCTTGGATTTACACTTTTGCTGTCTACCGACTGTCCCGAGCAATCCATCAGGTCTGGCTGTGACTTCAGACTCCTGTCATGGCGTTTCCCTCTCCCCTCTACCCACGGGTTCATGTCTTCGCATTCAGATACGTGCTCTGTAGTGCGCTCGAGGTGGTTGAGAGAACAAGAAGGCAAAAAGTAGACTGGATGACCCTGGTATATCATCTCCAGGCAGAAGAGAAATCCCGTCACTTACAGCAAGAGGCTTAGGCGAGATAGCTTCCGCGCCAGGTAATTTTTTTGTAAGATCGCTTAAGACATCTTGCATGAGAATCGAGTCTGACCTTGTCGGGGGCTTCGTCTTCGTTGTCCTGCTGTTACCTGCGTCCGCAGTTTTGACTACTGAATTGCAACTCATGTTTGAAGATGCCCCCGAGGAGATATTTCTTTGCGTTTTTTGCGCTTTGTTCTTCGTTTTTGGGACTCTTACACTGGACAAGTTCTGGTCGTCTATGGTCTGCTTCACGAGCGCCCTCAAATCAGCAAGCTCATTTTGGAGTTGTTTTACTTTGTTTTGTATATATGCGCACCCAACGCAAGGCGCGTCTTCGTACCTAACACTTTTTGCTGTAATTACGCTTGTTGCACACTTTGCTGGTCGTTGGCTGGAAGTGCAGGTAGAGCGAGCACAGGTTCTGGATGCGAAGGACATTTCACCAGAATTATTTTCCAACGAGGTTCCGTCGCTGGCCGCACTAGAATAGTGGATTAAAAGAGGCGAACCAATAGTAAATAAATGCATGACGTAATTGTGCATGAGCCTATAAATTAGAATAAGCCTCGTAGTACATTTCTAGTTTCGCTGGCAACACTACTGCCTTCTGCGACCCCTGTGTTCAGACATAACCAGCTGGTGTAGCGTTGATAACTCTAGTGTACGGAGAAAATCTAAAAATAATATTGCGAATTCACTGACCTGTTAATGTATAAACTCTGATTTATCTAAATTTCGATTATGAATTGTTCGTGGCCACGTTTATTCTACCTGGTTTGTGTTATAGTGGTCTTAGTGCATTCTCAAACTAGAAAACACACTTTGGAAAGTTTCCTTGAACTTCAGTCAATCCATTTTGCCAGACAAATTTTTTTGCCCATCGTTTGTTCGGTATCTAAAAGACCTGCTTAATTTTGTTCTTAATCCTACTGAGTTCTTTTACTGATATCATTTTCATAGGTTTACGTTCCTCTCCATAAAAGACTCAAAGCGCCCGAGCGCTAAAAACGGATTTACACTCCAGCAACTACTGGAAAAACGTGTCATGATAAAGCCCACTGTTTGGAATTCTGTGGGCACTGACCCGACTTTTTTGACATAGTATTTTAAACTAGATTGGTCTATTGGTTTCGCAGACCCCAAAGCAAATTTGGATTTTGTTAAACTGAAGAAATTGCATCCCGTGTAAGACATTACGCATAGTACATATGTCAAAAGCTTAAGCTAATCTTCTACTTGATAATATAAAATGCTTTTATTTGTTAGTCTAGATAATTTGGTTGCGATATTTGTTTTACCACAGTAAGTGCACCCTCTTTCTTTGTAGGTCCGCGAAGGCGCGATGTGCATGTAGTTATCGAGTTTTACACTCGATGGACAAGAACTTAGAGCTGGGACTTAAGGTCGCAGCCGAGGGCTGCAGTGAAGTACCGAAAGAAATAAGGCATGCCCGGAAACATTATTTGGATGGGAACACTAACAACATTTGGACAAGAATAACTTCAGACAAAATCAGCGAGGCATCCCAATTTGCTAAGAATATAGAATTCCACGATTTGGTATACGCCGTCTTTCAAGGAAGGGGAATGCGTAACTAAATTTATACTAAAGATATTCTTTTAAGAACCGAGGTTTTTACTTAAGTCCATATCTGGAAAGTTTAGCAGTGGCCGACTTATTGCCATTATGGGACCCAGTGGTGCCGGCAAAAGCACACTTATGAACGTTCTGGCCGGCTTTAAAACACGAAATGTTTCAGGACAGATTCTCATCAATTCCAAACCTCGAGATCTTAAGTTATTTCGCCGGTCATCTTGTTTTATTCTCCAAGATGCACCCCTTCTCTCCCAACTAACAGTTGCTGAAGCCATGTTCTGCAGTTCGCAGCTCAATCTTCCTCGACATCTGTCATCGGAACAGCGAACGGCAGTTGTAAGATAACACCTTAAAGTGTACAGTTTTAAAACTACCGTACGATTGATTGCACCTGTATTTATTTTTTCGAATAGCACGAATGTCTTTATGCACTTAGATTTCTAAGATTCTCTACGAAACTGAAAGAGAACGCTTGGCCGTATAAACGGTACATTCGTATGATTTCGTACCTTTATTAAAGTTCATTTGTTTTGAAAAGATTATATAATTGCAGTTGCGTACGCAGAGGACCTTTACGGTCCAGTTGACCACAGGGTGCGCAATGGGTAGTTTTAAATCCATTTAGTAGACTCTAAGATTTCCTCTATCAGCTTACTATCCAAAACCCGCGGAAATAGGATGAAGTGCTCTACCTCCTCTTTGTTTACTCCTGCCAAGATGAAGGATTTTCCCTTTAAGGAAATTTAGTTATACCGATGAATTAACCACTGTTTTTTATGGGTTCGGCTTCTACTGGACAATTTTTGAGTAGATTGCAGAAAATTATGTACATCACATTTGTCTTCAGATACGTCAGATTCTAAGCATTTTGGGTTGTTTGTTTGTTATTCGTTTTTAAACAGAACTGTTTGCCTTATGATTCTAGTATTTCCTACTCCCTACTTGCTTAAAGTCCAGATTTTGTTTGTTCCCTTGTTATGCACCTACAACTCGTTGTGTGGTCTCCCGTTGTTTTCATCGCTGTGTATATTGGTCATATCGAGGCAATGTATCCGCAAGCATCCATCTGAAATTTTGATCTAGAGTATACGGCAATAAAACTACAGTTTTCCTTATTGGCTTTTGCCTTCTTCATTTGCCTAATATATACCGCCAGATTTCTTCACCAATGATTTCGAATAACTGCAATATTTGTTTTTGACTATGTGCGTTATATATTTATTGTGTGAAATCCGCCTTATGACCTTTCTTTTTGGACCATTAATTTGATCACACCGATTTATAACAGCCGTCGCCTGCAATATTAAGCTAAGGTAAATTTCCTTACGATCCTACCCTGGTAGTACCATCTGTTGAATTACGTCATTTGCTGTGATTAGAAACTAATAGTGTTCTATAGAGTATTTTTCCACTTGTATTGAAGGATACTTTCATTTTAAACAATATATCGTCGTACAATTCCCATGTGGACCGTACGACAGTCCATGTCTCACGCAAACTTTGCCTAACAACATAAAAACATATATGCAATGGATTTTATTCTAAGAAACAACGAAAGCAACTGTATTTACGTATTATAATGGAAGAAGTTGCAGTCACAGGTTCCCTTTTAGCCATTTCTAAACACACGTAGATGCTATCTCGAAAATACCTGAAGTGTTTCATCCAGCCTCGGCTCTTGCCTTCTCACATTTTTGTGATATTTTCTACGCAGAAGCGACTTCAAATATATTTGAGAGTTTTTCAAATTGGCAGTTGTTTATCGTTGTGCCAAGTACACATGCCGTTTTATACTCTGTATCGGATTTTCCTTCATAAATGGCACACAGCGCATTGGTTCTTTTAATTCCTGCATTAATTTTATACTTAATTAATTTAAAATAAAACTTCTCGCCATGATTGCGCACAGTTAATTACGTGATCTTCTCATCTGTGCCTATTATATAATGATCAGCCCGTCCGAAATATGATTTCAGTTGAATAAATAATTATTGTTCCAAAGGTGTTGGATCGAAGTAGAGATTCTTTGGACACTCAATTTTTACCTGGTAAAATTTATTCGTTGTTTGTCAGCCACACTGTTTTTTTCTACTTACGTGACTATCCTTTTCAGATGGACCGAAAACCACATTATCTTTTTACCGACTGAAATTGCTTCGTTCAGAGCACAATTTTGGTATCATCTACGTAGCACCTCTCTGCGGACTCTGAATCAAATAACCACTACTCAGACACATGCATGGGTTTTTGGCCAATACCCACGTTGCCATCATGCAGCATAGTTTCTATCACTTGACCTCATATTCCTACTCCTATGTCCGTGACGACTCGACAGCTCAAACGTTGTACAGCCTGTTGAGAAGCATATATTTAAGAAATCAGTACGATCTAAACATATGTGACCTGCAACTCCGTGGCTGGAATAGATGCTGTATCTCCGACTCGAATATCTGCTTCCTTTAGCATGAGGAAAATTATTCTTCACATGTTCTACGATCTAGTCTTTGACCGTGAAGTGTAAAAGTTGAGTCTCAAACCACGTGGGTCAAGTAGTAGTGGCGAAAAAACGCTAAAATACTGCGGATCGAGACAACAGGTAAAGATGCGTTCGTTTTACTAGATCAATCTTGTATACGAATCCAGAGCATGACAACGCGGAATATTACTTGTTGATCGAAGTCTATTTTGACAGAATAATTGACCTGATTGGCATTTTCCTGTGTCCAAGAATCCCCGCTGCTGCACTTCCTGGTCAAGTTTTGACAGTTATACCTTGATGCTTGGCAGCAATCTACCTTTGCTCATGGTAGATGGACAGCTTCACCGTTGAAATTGCTATAGGCTAAAGGTAGCGCTGTGAGCAAATTCATGGCTTACAACTGCTACTGCAGGTGTTTCATTCGTTGTACTCCAGTTGGGGTCATCTATACCTCACAACCAGGCTTTGGTTGTTTTCTTAAATATCGCCCCTTCACGGCGCCCCTATATCTTTTGTTTACCTTTTATAGGGCCAAGTGGTAGATGCGCTGGACCAACACGAGGGCTAAATTGGGGTCGGGCAGGTGTTACTAAAATGCGTCCCCATGACAAATGCCGACATTTGGGGTGTGGTGAAACACCCAATCTCAGGCCCACGCCGCGCCAATCGGGGTCAGAGCCTCACTCCTATTTATTGTATGAAATTCTGGTCAGTGTGCGTTTTGGAGCAGGGTGTGTGGTGGCACGCCTAGGTGTGGGATTTTGCCGTGTCAGTCATCAACGCCTTCTGCCTCCGGTCGTCTTGACTCTATTTTGACACTGGGTTCAGGCGAGGGAGAAGAGAGGGCGGCAGATGTTGTGCAAGTCCACTATAACTTTGAACTAATTCGCGTTCCGGTTAGCATCCATGCTCCCGCTCTGCAGTGGGGCACATAGTGGACGCCATCGGTACCATAATTATCTTACTGAAGGCATTTAGGAAAAGCCATCTCTTCTAGGATAGCGCTATCTGCACACGGTTTGGCAGCTGCAATAGGCTAATACCGAATGGCGCCCTAATAAATTTGACCACAAGTCTCGACTTGGGGTTGAAAAGCTTTGAAGGACATGCGGAGCACGATCATGCACCATGTGTTAAGATTCGTGAGCCACCGACTGCAGTCGGTGGAAATGTCTTTAACGTGAGATTACAAAACCCTCCAGTAGGTAACGTAACACGAAGCCAACCTCTACATTAAAACATGTCAGCTGTTGGAAGAGCCTCCTCCCAGACATCTTTGCAAATTGAACTCAGGAGAAAGCCCAACCCGAGGGATGTTTAATTTGCCCACTTATCTCGATGCCTGTATCAATTCAACCATAGTTTTTTAGGAAGAGCTACACAAAACGTTCATCTCCCTAAACAGGTATTCTTGAAGCACGTATTTTAACAACTGTGTTTCTTTAAGAAGGAAAAATTTTTGCCGCTGACGCCTGTGTACTTGAAAACGCAGTCTGCGTTTTCGCATCATCTTATGGCTTCCGGGCTCTGTACTCTTCATTTCTGCCCGAGGCAAATCCAGATAACCGTGTCCGTTCCTGTAAGAAGAATTCCCGGTACCATAGTGAATTACAATATGTACGGATCACATCGCCTTTTCGATGAGCAACAGGAATCGGCATGCGGAGGTTAAGCAAGAGTCAAATGCTACATCATAGTTTCGAACTTTTCCAGGACCCGAGTAAAGCACGATTCAAAATTTTAAATTTAGAGAAGTAATAATTTCCTATAAAATGAGCTAGGACATGAATAATTTTTGCGTCTATTCGATAAGACATGATGGCACTTATACAAGCATCGACAGCCAGTATAAAAATACATGCCACGTATGTAAGGCATTTTTTAAAGTGCAAATCGTTGGCTGCCGGGGAAGTGAACTGATCAAACACCAGCAAGTAGCTGTGTAGCAATTTGTTCGGAATCATGGTCTCGGGTTAGTTCATTCTACAATCCCACCTAAAAAATCTTTTCCACTTGATGCCTTATGTGAACTATCTGACTTTGGAGCATGCTTTATGCTTGCCACGTGTTTGTAGATGACTCGTCTTTATGACGAGTAGTTTTCACTGACTGAGAGATTGTTGTTCCTTGGCAGGTGGGCTTCTGCCGTCGGTCTGCAGTTGGGAGGTCGAGTAATTCAGGTGTCATGCAAAGGGGGGCTGAAATTGCAAAATTCAAAAAGGATGAAAAAAAAACCAGACTTGCACATCTTCGGCAAACGAATTTATGGGCATCTGAGGCGTGAGGATTTAGTTCATCAGTGTAGAAGCGTTCCCAGATATGAAATAGAGTAGATTTGCCTGCTAACTTTTAAATAACTGCTGGATGGCACCCGCCTCTATTTTTGATTGGTCAAAGCCCAGCCTTAAGAGGTGGTCTTTCGGGATTTACGCGTGTCTAGTACTGCAATTGTTTCACTGGGAAAATGCGCATTAAATGCAAGCCAAATAATCCTTATATGAAGCCGAATTGACAAAAATGGTAAAAAAATGTATTAATCGTTTCCGTAAGGTTTATAGAAAGTAAACAATCCGCGTATTATTTTATTCGATTGTACCATGATTCCCAGTTATCCATGCATGCTCACAGGTAATTTAATGTTTGCTCGCACTCCTGGGAAATCGTTTTCTGTCTGGCCTGTGCCAAAAGTTTATCGAAGTTTTTAGGATATGGAGCTGTGTCTTTCATTTGAGAAGAACCTCACTGGATGCTCTGATGGACCAGGACAAATAAGCATTTCCGCCGATGCTACCACACTTAATGAAGAACTGGACTTTGAGATCGACAAGCATTTTGTGAGAGAACGCCCAAGAAATGCTTCCAATCGCGCTGCCGCCTCATGACGTACATTTGTCAGAGTGTACATAATCCGCATGAGTCCATTACTACTGCCGCACCTGCATGCAGCACGCGTTAGAAGGAGGCATTCGTGTCATGCCTGCCAGTGCGTCAAATTACCTCAAGGGCCGCCCGAAGGCCTCGAGCAAGTCATTGTAGCATAAGAGGGGGAAGAAGAGATTCTGGCCAGTCATGATGAATCCCTTCTCATGGCAAATCCGCACATTCCGCACAGTGTGCTTGAACCTATCACGACACGGTGACAGCGGTGGCATCGAAGATAGCTCACTGGCGGGATAGGTCGCCCGATCGTGGAACGAGGGTCAACTTCATTGGCTGCCAATTAAGCCCTTATGGCACCTCTCGTGTATGCGAGATACATGCCCGTGCATGACTGACTCGCGTTAGACGGTTGATTTTCATTGTGTCAACACCTGCTATTAACTTCAGAGCCAACCAGCTTGAGGCGGATAAGCCACTGTGACATTTGTGAGGGAAGAGATGGAATGATTCTGATATAGTTCCCAGACGAGGCGTGCGTTTGATTTAATATAACCAAAGAAGGACGCCAGGAAACTTCCACTACGCGACGACAGCTAGGACTTGGAAATCTGCCAACTGACGGAATAACGCGTTCTTTCTCAGTCCAGGCTTTACTGTCTCCTCTTAGATAGGGATTTCATGCCCTTGCACTGTTGCTTAATGTCCGAGCCCTCTCTGCTCTCTATTTTAAGTCGCACCCGTTCGAAGTAGGAGACTAGGTCATGTGCGGCACAAGTAGGCGGACTATTAAGCTTTGCCATTACTACTCGTCCATGCCAGTCTGCGGCCGTGTTGATTTTGTGTTATCATTGGAACACTGTGGGAGGTGTGTGAATGGAGATTGAGTTGGCCGTAGTGTAGGTCAGTTCCGCTATAAGGCATATCTCGCGGAGCAGTGACGATGCACCTCCCTTGCGACGATCTGACTATTACGTTTATGGGTCTACTTGTTCCGCCCCGTGGGATCGCTGGTGATGTCTTTGGATTGCAGGTGAAGGCGGGGTTTTGTCTTCTGGCATGCAATCTGGTCGGCACCATGAGCGCCGACCAAATGTTAAAATCAATATTTTCGAATGGAGCGGAAGGATGGTGATCCCTCAGTTTAACTGCTAGAGTGTTAAGACCAACGGTCAGGTGTATCCCAATGAGATCTGGAGTTTTCATAACTTTCGGTTGGGATACTACGATCTGCCCCGCTGAAGACCTCAACAACGACATATAGAAGCCTGAAATAGCCATTTCAGCTTCGATGAATGATTTCCGACCACTGCATGCCCGTCCGTCAGTGCTGTGGTTTTCGTCGCCACGAAAACAAGCTACGCTCGTTATGACCTACAGTCAGTGTAACGGGGTGTATGCTTCTCCCATGTGACTTGTGATTTATTGATAAGGGGGGGGGGCCTCTGCCGTTACGATCAACACCACAAACCCTCCAGGCGACAGCGTTCCTTGTGTATGGGTTATGATTTTACGTGTTTCAATTTGTCCCCAGTATTTCACGTCATTCGCGACCTTTCAAAGAGTTGGGTTTACTTACTTTTCGTGGACAGCGTTCTGGAGAATGCTGTAGGTCCCTACTTAGATACTTTCATGGGACAGAGACCTCAGCCCTGGTGTTTGTGTGAGGGCGTATAGGAAAACCAACTGTGCTCAGGTAAATTGCCAGGACTTTTGGTCCCGGGGTTGGGCTATGGTTCGTTTTTTTACGACACAATTAACTGGGAGGTGACTATTTTATCCCTTTATTTATTACATGAGGAATGCTTACGCTTCTGATTAGCACCAGCTGTTTATTTTTACCGAACTATTAATTTTGTGCATAGGTATTCGAACCCCAATAGCATTGTTGAACGCGCAGTGTTCCGAATGTTACTTGTCTAAGAAACTGTTGTTAGAAACGAAATGCCATGGTGTCATGTGGTACATATTTTCTCAATTTTCTCGTGATATAGCAGCTATCAAGATAATTATTTCTCCGGGGAATGCTTGACTTAGTATAATTACTGAAAACCAGAGAACTTGCTTACTGTTTAAATAACGGCTTTACAGCGGACGAAATTTTCTCAACCGCCTGGCAATAAAATTTAATTGCCCTTTGACTCGTTACTACCTACATTTGGGCGGTGGGTCGTAACTTACTCATACCGATTTTTGAGCCGAAGTCACCGTTATCATGTGGATTTAAAAACTAAATTTTGCGTAAAAAACTCATCGATTATAGTTGCGGTAGGCAATAGATTGTTGAATGGTTGTTGATCCTTCATTGCCCAAGCCAGATCCGACACGCGTAATGGTCCCTCCACCCACAACTTCTATGACTGTTTACCTTTTCATCGTCTTTGCCAGGCGTAGTCAAAGCTCGCTAGGTAAATAATTCTCCATAGGTACATCGTTATTTGGACAGACGTGTTGCATTCTAACATTATTCTAAAGTTTCGGTCTTAAAGTTACTGGAGTTTAGGTAGGCAGGAAGCTAAAAACTTAGTGGTTTTCAGACGCCACAGAGGCAAGCGTGTGTGGAAAGTTAGTTCCATTTTAGCTTTTTCCCGCCTAAACTCGAGCGATGTTTGGTTATGTAATACTCCTGTTTGCATAGCTAATTTGATCCACTCTGCCCTATACAAAGTTTATTATTTAAACCTAAGCACTGGGCTTAGTTACCTGTCGGTCCATTTGAGCTAATTAACTTGCCACCCCTCAGTCAGATTATTGTGGTATTTGTTCTTCATGAAGCTGATGGTTTTTTTTATTAAGAAAATGGAATCTTATTAAAACCAGGGGACATTCAGATCATCCTGCATGCTGTGATCGCCATTCCATAGAATTAATGAAGTACTGCCGAGGAGATGCAAAACCTCCTCTTCCACAATAGGTCTATATATTTATTTTATGCCATTTGCTTTTATTCTCCCGTGGTCTGTTTGCAGATTGATGAAATCCTACAAGTCCTCGGATTGTCAGAGTCCAAAACAACTCGTACAAGTGCGCTTTCCGGCGGTCAGCGGAAGCGTCTCTCAATTGCTCAAGAAATGGTCAACAACCCACCAATCATGTTCTTCGACGAACCTACCAGGTAGGAGTGAGGGCTTTGCACCAGGTGTTATTTATTTTCATGCCTGAAAGTGATTTATTCTGTTTTCTGGTGGAAAATCTAGTCCGCATTCATTCGAAATCAGTGGTTTCTCGTCGCGTGTAGTGTATAGTCAAGTCTCACAATGGCATTTCGCGTTTTACTGAACAGTTATTATTAACTAGTTAATTTTAGCTGGTGGGTGACAGTTTAATCAGTTTTGTGCACTGTTTCTTTTCTAGTCATTTGCTCCGAACATATATGCACCCATTACAGCAAGTCAGCAAAACAGATGCATATTCTTAGCTGCGCAGAATAGAACCAATTCATGAATTTGGCCTGCTATTTTGTGCCTCGTTCGGATGGTATTTAAATACTATTTGACGGTGTGAAAAACCCACTGTACAGACTCACAAATGTTTTACAACCAATCCCATTCTAGGCGTTTTTTGCACGTAGGTTTTAAATGTGACCGCCATTGGCCCCTTGCAAATGTTCATTTATGTGTTCTTCGGTTGCAATTTACTCACTTGTCTGATGCATTACGTCGCATGTCACTAAAGTGGCTGTGTTCCCTTTAACCCGGAGTAGGCAGTTCTAGCATTCTATGGTCTTTGTTCCTCCTGACTCACTGACTGATATGTACTGCTAAAGGCGACGTTTAGAGAACTTATTTCGCTATACATTTGACAAATTTTCCAAGTACAAGCATACAACTTAGTTTAGGGCTGAGAACCAACATCAAGGACATCCACCTTTCTTGATTTCTATGAACAGCCGATCTTACTTCCGGTCACATTTTGAGTGGCAGCCTCAGCCGTCATGGCCTTGCGTCTAGATTTCTGTTGAAAATGCCGACGACGACGGAGATAAGAATGATGATGGCAGTGGTGGCGCTGACAGTGACAATGGTGATTATGGGGAGGATGGTATGACGAAAACAAAGATGATGCTTGTTATGGCTCTGGCGACAGTAACATTGACCATTATTATGGAAAAAAAACAGCCACAATTCCAGACCGGAGGGGTCTGACTTTGATTTACCTTTTAACTTAATGCAGTTGACGTTGGGCCAATGTCTCACGCTTTGTCAGCTACGTAAGCAACGCCAAATGGACCATCTCCACTCCCTAGATGCTTGATCTAGTTCATCGTTCCATGATCTGGGAAATGCACCCCTGCTAAAATATCAATCTGCGCAGGTGTTTATATGTCCATCTATAAGTGTATCATTTGGATTCGTGAACGTATAGTCTAGTTTTCCGTTGGAACTTTCGTGAATTTCCGTAGTGGAATGCTTTCGATTAAATCTAGTAAAGGATGCTTCAGAGGCACTTACGATGCAGTCATATCGGTACAACCAAAAATGCGACGCTAAATTCTGATGACGGGCTGGTTAAGCTTCCAGGCTGGTTTTGACGATGACAAGCAGTGAATAGGTACCTTTTAGAATATCGAGAAAACTATTGGTGGCAGTTTTATAGTCATATTATAGTAGATCATTGTCCCCTTTCAAATCATTCTGGCATTATTGTTAACATTTTTCACAACACTGCACCGTCCGTCCTAGCTAACGCCGAAATAATGGAGCCTGCTTTACGTTTCAATACTATAGAGTGTACGATTTAGATGCTCACTGAAGACACTTGGGCCTGGTTGACCGGGCATTTTTTAAAAAGCTCGAGTCATCAAAAACCCCGAAACAGGTTGTGATTAAGTCAAGCGCTTCCTCGTGGCCTGGTCGACCGTTTCGTGGAGCTTTGGTTTGTCCATCTTCAAAATATCATCTCCCTGGCCAAGGATATCGACAGTGAGGCAGCAACCTAGAGCAATTTTCTGGCTCACGAGCAGCAGCCTAGGCATGGTAGCTATGACGTTCCTCTTTCCGGTTAAACATGCGTGGGTGTGAGCTTGAGTGAGGTGTGGCTGGAGCGCACCTGAAACGTTTTTGCTTCCAACTCTTGCCCTTAACGAGCTTCGCTTACCATCCATTGGTCCTGGGCCCTGTCCATTTTACGGCGGCGGCGCTGCTGGCGCCACATCAGCGATGGCAACTCACACCTCCGATCGGACTGCCCTCCTCGTACCTTCGTGTGCGTGCATGTCGCCTCTAGTCTCGAGTCCTGTATTGACGCGCGTCGCCTTCCACTGGTCGTGTCGTTTGCGCTCAGACCTACTTTAACTTACACAGTCCTTTGCTCTCGATCATAGTGCGCTGACAGTAATCCCTGAGGATGAAGGCGTCTACCAATCCAACGATGCACCGGGAGTAGAATGCCGACTTTTCTTAGACCTCTTCCCAACTCGGCGTAATTTGTAAATTCGGACTTAGATCGAGACCATATTTCTGTGTCCAGGGCTTCAGGCGTGTTCTTTCTAACTTTATGACATGAAGCCTTTTTCCACCTTACATTTTAAGCCCTAGCAAGAGGTTAACTTTCGGGCGTTTGCGGACGAGAACATGACCCGACCGATCGGTGGCAACACCCATCGATCTGTTATTATGCCCCCGACTAGCAGCATTTTTGAACAGTTTAGACATGACGTATTTTTGAGATTTAAGGTAAAGAGAAGCCCCAAATAATAGTCAAGATCGCATGTTTTTGGTTGTATCAGGCGTCTTGGTTGTAGGTCCTAGCCGTACTGTGTAGGCAGTAACCAAGCCTACGTGATGAATATTCATAGTCACCATGTCACTGTCCGCGGCCAGTCTTTGCTGAGAACTATCGCGTTCTCCACCACCCGTGAATGTGCTCGGCATCGTCAGATAGCCAAACGGGCAGACCCATCTTTTCTTACTGAAGTATCTAGAGAGAAAGGGAGCCTGATTGGTTTCTACATTCGCGTCTATATATTCAGAGATCTGAGACGGTTTCTAGCTGGTTGTCTTATTGTGATCTGACAATTCTGATAAATGGTCTCATTATTAATTACCTGAACGAGACCTTGAACCGTAAATTTGTTAGCGTTATCTGATCAAGGGAGTAATTATCGAACTGTCTTCAGATGATTAATGAGAAATTTTTGAGAGAAATTTGGACTAGTTACTTCTAGAGCTCTGTTATTTTCGTGGACAGTAGTCCAGAAATTGTAGACTACTTTATGCACATGCAAACCCTCCACAGAATCTAATGGCAGTCCGGTTAAAACTCCCCTCTCCTCACCTGTCTCAGCTGCCATCCGGGATAATTAATATTGACGCTTCAGTTAGGCGAGTCGAGGAGAGGGTCTGCCCGATGTTTACACTGTCCACTTTTGTGTTTTAAACACATCTTTTATGCCTATCTGCCGAAATCTTGCAGAAAAGTCCGCTCTTCCTCTTCATCTGGCAAATACTACTTTGGCAAAAATGATCATCCCTCCCTTTATCGTCTTCAGCAGCAGCACTCCATTGTCCACCCGATGAAGCCAAGTAAACTCGGTCAGAACTAATTTGGCGGCTAAAACCTTTTAGCTCTCATCTCATTCACGCATCTGCATCATCCTCTGACATATTATTGATGATTTTAATTGATATTTTGGCAGATTTTGAATAACTCATATTGACCCAACTGTGAAAAACTCGGCGCCTCGGTGGGATTCGAACCCACGCAGTAAGGGGGAAGGCTTTAGTACAGCCAACGCTGTAACCACCTGAGGCGCCGAGTTTTTCACAGTTGGGTCAATATGATGATTTTAAGTCTGGAGGGGTAGTGTCACCCGTCAGTCGCCTATGGAATTCTCTGCACACTGCATTCGCAACGCTATCATCTTGCTATTGCGAACTTAGCTGTGTTCAGCGTATCATGTTCTCTTTTTCAGTGGCCTCGATAGCGCGTCTAGCCTTCAGTGCATTGCGGCACTACAAACCATTGCCCGCCAAGGTCGGACAGTGATCTGCACAATTCATCAGCCAAGCGCAAAAGTTTTCGACATGTTTGATGAGGTGCGTCTTCCACCCGTTTTCTATTTTTTCCATCTCCCAGCGCATGCGAGCATGAACTGCCTAACTGCGTTTTACTTTTGAAAATGCTCACTACCTGAGGATGATAGTCCGTCTACTACTAAATATAGATATCGATAATTATGCGGCATCGATCTCATTCCACCCACCCTTATCCACCATATTCTCGTAATAAGACACAGTCAAGGCAATCAGAGTTGGATTTTTGGGACAAGTGACTGGCATTGTGATGAATCGCATCTACGCAGGTCGCCACACGACTTATATCCTCATGCTGACCAAACTAGTACGCAAACACAGCTTAACAGCGTCAAAATGGACGCCCCGATCGAGTTGATTACCGGTTTATGACAACTAGGCAAAGTATGGTTTCATGACGTCGCAGATTAGGGCTTGGTGTCAGAGGGCGTTCGGCGCAACTGACCATCCGTCAAGCGAACTGCCTTTGCCTGATAACTGCATACACTTTTGATCTGGACTTTCGCGTTTCCTTCTAGGCATACAAAACAATGTCCATGAGGTCTTTAATCTATACTGTTTCCTCTTGACTTCGCCGTCCCTTTCATAGACTTCAGGTTATATCAAGTGTGCTAGTTGTCCTAAGAGAAGTTTCATACTTTTAGGTTTCGCTGATCCTGTCTGGCGCCCAGCATAGATAGCTTTTTTCATATTTCTTGGCGTGAGTCAAAATGCGCACGTCTACTTCTCATGAGACACTAGCACCATCCGGGTTTCCTATCCAGTTTATTAGGAAACAAGACCACGGACAAAGACATTTGGATCTATGAAAGGAGTTCAGCAGGGATGGGTAATTTTCTGCTGACTTAATGCCATCAACCCGTTATGCCCGGCCACATGGCGAGACTACCTGATATTTAAACCCAAACCGAAGTGGTCAGACGCCTTACCACCTGAGCCACGGGATTGGATTCGTCGGTTGTGCTCGAGAATATTGAAAACCGCCAGTGGCACTTCACCGATATCATTGCAGTAAGGAACATTTTCGTGCATTTCCGCCCCGGTCTTTCCATCTATGGTCGTTGCTGGCGGTCACATGACGATGAGGGATGTATAAGGTGGGAGGAATACTGACAGACGGAATTTGCTTTTGAAAAGAAAGCATTCTGTCCCCTTTATTTTCGAGGACTCTTATTATAACGCACCGGTTTCGCAAAGAGTGATTACGCTTTCGAGAAAAATGTCACAGTTGCAAGCCACTTCAACTTTTTAGTTTCCAGCGTATCAAGTAACTGAAGAAGTCAGGCTTCCTCCTGCACTTATTTTCCTCCTTACCTGCGGGTTGTCCTTACCAGGGAGTTTCACTGGCAAAGGACACCTTTCTGGGTTTTGCTTACTTTTTTCTGCCAATTCCACAGTCTAAATCTTTACTGTAGGATCTTATGAGAGCAATTTAAACCGAATATTTTTTTACTGAAGACGGTTGCTGTGCTAGCTCGTGGTTAGTAGTTAAATGACGTTTTCCATACCACTAAACACGTTATTCAATGGAAAATATCTTAGACGAAAAATATTATATGCCTTTTCGCCGGAGCAATCGATCCAGTACAATCAATACTTTCTCGTAAGCGTTCGTTCGTCACGTATTTCGAGAAGTAGTGTTATACTATTTGTGTTTAATGCTTAATATATAAAAGGGAGTGCCTTAAGTCGGAAGTTGTTTTTACCAAGCAAAAATTTGAGTTACCTGCAAGCAATCGAATGAGAAGTAATCGCATTCTCATGAAAGTGTCGGCCTCCTTAATCCTTCCATGCGCAATAGCTTGGTAGCTTTTTTAAAGGACAGTTTCAGCCAAACGCATTACTCAGCTAGTGGGGATTTTTTTATAGTGTCTTATGTTTGCATGAATTTCACTACACTACGCCGCACGAATACCGAACGTCATTTTTATATGAATATTTTGAAGAAATTGCGCTTTCACCAAATCTTATGTTTGAGGGAAGGCGATACTTCGGCTTAAACAAATCGTAGTTTCGAGGAGTTTTGTGACATTGGCACGAATATTTGCGTAATCTACTGATGGATTTTTGCAAAGTATATAAGGCCATTCGTGTCGATTCCGATGCCTAATGGACGTCTGGAGGTCTACTCATAGGCAGATGAAGGTAAATGTGAACTCCTTGGGAGAAAACGTACTACGTAGTTTGGATCAGCGCGGGAAGCAATGTAAACGTAGGTTATATTTCAAAGTATGTCAGCACTTCTGAACTTATTTACCCTTAACTACCCAGTAATTTCGAACGTCAAACTAAGGAAGCTGTCATTTTCTGTAAAACGAACACGAGAAATATTAACTTCAGCTGCCTCTTTAGCAACTGAATCGATTGACTTAGGCGTCGAAATCAACAAGAGACAAATCACCTGATTGGCGACATTCCTCCCGCATGTTATCAGCGCTACTGAGTGAAAATATCCTTATCTCCAGGCAAAAATTCTAGCGTGTTTTAATTAACTTGTAACTACGCCCCATGATAATTGCTACTGCAACCTCGCATAGGAAGGCATTTCCATGCTGGAGCATATCTAAAAACTAAACATTGATTTCCGAGTTTATTCGCCTACTGCAGAGCCTCAGTGAGCCCCAAGTCTATAATACCTGCCTCACAAATTGCTCATGTTGCTGCTATTTAAAAAACAACATATCAAACAAAACGGAGGATTAGATGGCGAATACTGATTCTGGTGAGTGAGCAGGAGTTGATTCGTCCATAGGCACGGCCAGTCTCTATTAGGTCTTCAGCTAACGGTCGCTGGTTGGTTGCTTTGTACGAAAGCTTCGCTTGGTGGGCGTCCTCGATCGATTCCCCCGGTCAGCCAATGATCAGCGTAATAAACCCCTCGACACTACTCTGTACCATTGGTATCTCGTCGGCAACGAAATATTCCCTGGGTTTGGAAGCATTACTTATCCTCTGAGGGCGACTATTTGCTGTCCAAACGTTTTGTTAGCATATACATCAAGGGGACGGGTGTCAGGAGGGAGAGATATGCATCATCTCCACTCTCCCTTTTAACATGTTCTGCACCCGAAATGGTAGGGTATATAGATGCTGGGAGAGAGTTGATGCGTTCTCAGCGCTTCTCATGTCTGGCCCACTTTGTTCCTGCTGCTACTTGGGGGAGGAATAATTAATAGATGCTAACCCTCAAAAAGTTTATGATCCAGCATTGACAGTGTTATCCTGGTAGCCAAAGTAAATTGGGCAAATAATTTGTCAGACAACTGCGCAAAACGTCGAAATCTTTTGTTATTAGTAATATTGGTCAGTATCAGAACGAAATGGCGTACAGAACACTTTTAAGCAGGTCGCTTAAAGGTACAGGAGCCGACCCTCGTTCTGGTCTACTTTCTTGACGACGATTACTCACCCCACTCTTGTTTCAGTCTAGGCTGGGGACTTCGCGGACGGTCTTGCCGTGGTGAAAGTCACTAATCTGCAGGTTTGAAAGTGGAGATAGGATGTTGGGAATAATTGCTTCTGGCTTACATCCCCGGTGGGGGTTGCTATGACAAAGACCTGTAGTTGTCTCTCGACGTGGTCGGAGGTCTTACTTAAATTTTCATTGGATTACCTATACGACAATTCGCTGTCGTTACCGACAATGTCCACTGTGTTGCACACAGCAGGGTGAGCGGAGGGATGGCGACTTGTACGCGAATAAGTTATAGTGGTAGTGGACTTTCGCTGCATTTGTTACACTCTCCCCTCCCTCACCCATTTGAGCCCCGTGTCAAGACCGAGTCAGGAAGACCGGAGGCGAGGCGAGCGGATTATCTGACAGCTAAACGGCCCATCTACGCGTGCTACACACGCCTGGTCAGAGCGCGACGGACCAGGTTTTCATACAGACAGGGGAGCTGCTATTCGTATCCCAACCGAATGGGAGTGCCGTAGAAGCCGCATTAAAAAGGACCAGTTGCAGCCTGACTCTGCCTTCTTCGAGGGCGGCAGCATTCCAAACCACGTCTCTTAGCGCACCGGGATGTATTCAAGCGCGCCCGACTGGTTATGGTGAGCAGTATGCGCTAAGATCGTTGGCCACATAGATACTAGGTCTATTTAACCTCCTTACCTCCTCTTCCGCCGCCGCCGCCGCCGCCGCCTGTACTTTGACAGATACTATGGACGAATTACGAAGTGTAAGAATCGGTGGTTTTTAGAAGAGCCTACTTTAAAAAGTTTGCTTTACGCAATAAAAGTTTGTTCGAACGTCATGCCAAAATTTACCGCAGTGTAGAGTTCGAACTCTCAACCCTCATGACTAATTATGACTTCGAATTCGGTATTTAGAAGCATTTTTAATGTGAACTCTTTCAAAGCTTATGTTTGACTCTAGTCTAGTAAATTTCAGATGAGGAATGCGGCCTACTGCATGAGTTCTACTTCTACGTAATTGCCGATTTTTTTTTCGCGTAGATGACCGAATATGTATGAGTATCAGCGAACAGCTTCACGTGGACGAATAGTATTCGAAGATACCTGGCATACTAGCAAAAATGGCTTTTTTAGAGATTTAGCTGTTGGAAGTGAAACTCTCCAAAGTATTTAGCAGCAATTTAGAGTTTACGAGTTCTGTTGGGAATAAACGCTCCCCAGAGCCCAAAGGTGGGCGGGGGCTTTGGCTTCGCGGGAGTCGGCAGTCGCGCATACTAGCAAAAAACTGTCGCCGAGTTTGATGAAGATTGGACGTCTGGCCGGTAGGCAAATTTATCTACCGATCTTTCACTATGACTTCACTGTCAGATGAGGCAACCCAGTTTTAGGCCAAGGGCACTAGCGGTCTTTTGCTAAGTCTCCATTTGCCTACTGCTCACTTTTTGACCCTTTTTACTGCCTCTACCGATGAGGCTTTGCGTGCTGTTGACGCCTTGTGCACGTAAGATGATTTGGGCGATGGACCTTACTCAGTCATTGGCTTTCTGACAACCACCTTTGCATGCTAGGAGAAATTATCCTTCCGGGGCAGATAATGTAATGTCTGCTACAGATGGTTGGCGTCATACAAATAAGATGTGTTTATGAGAGTTTTTCAACATCTTTTACATAAAGTATAAACATCTGTCATACATACAATAGATGTGCTAACTCACGAAATGTTAGCCGAAATTCTGAAATGCGTTTTTAGCTCAAAAAGATTACTTAAGTAGGGTTGTAATATTAATCACCGTGCGGCATAATCCCATAATAATTCAAATGCTTCAGGATGCTGGATTTTGAAAGAAATTCTCTGCAGCCTCGTGCAAAACCTACACTCTGTAAAAATAACTACTTAAGTGGTATGCATTTTTCTCGTCGATTTTCGATGCCCTTATAAATTCAAATATATTTCATAGAACACATACATAAAAATATTTGTTCTTCTACTCGTTTGGTAGAAAATCACATCTTTAAATTTTACGCATGAAAGAAGGATGTAATTCGGTTTTTAAAAACTTTTATTTGAAACCCAACCTGCCGTTACACTCGAATTCAGGGCTTCCAAAATACACGCCGTGCATTTTCCGCGTACGGAAAATCATACTTTTCTATATGCTATTATGAGGAGACCATATGGGGTTCGTAACATTTAGCAGTGGATTTGAGCCATATAGCAAACTATACAAGCAAAGTTAGTAAACGCAGAAGCACGATGTTTTATGGACGGGCATTTCACGGTCTTAAAAATTTTCATAATCAGAAGCTTTTTAAACACCAAATTGTACCCTTACATTAAGTGCGAAATTTGAAAAAGACGTAATTTTCTACCAAATGGGTAATAGATTGAATATTTTATGCGTGTGTTCTATGAAATATATTTGAATTTATAAGGGCATCGAAAATTGATAAGGAAAATTCATGCTAATTAAGTAGCTATTTCTACAGTGTGCGGATTTTGCAGGCGGTTGGAAAGAAGTTTATTCAAAGTCGGCATCCTGAAATTTTTGAATTATCATGGGATTATGCCGCACTTTGATTAATATTACTACCCTACTTGAGCAATCTTTTCGAGCAGCAAACGTATTTCAGGATTTCGGTCAACATTTCAGGAGTTAGCACATCCCGTTCGTCATCCCCAAAAGGATCCGAGGACGAAAAAGAGGCGATTACATTAGTGCTGACGTTTCAGAAACTTCCCCGTTTCCATCATCAGGTTAGTAGGGTGCGTGTTCCAGTTAGCCCAGAGTTGTTCTGTCTCGCCGCCTGTCTCGTTATAGGCATTCCTGATGCACGAACTCTGACCTACCTTCTGGCTGGGGATTAGCTTTGGTCTCTCCGTGGGCGGCCGCTGGCGCACTCGTGTGACCTCTGCCCAATGCCCAGCTATCGTGGTCGCTGTAAGGTCTATGTGCCTGTGGGCCCTCCCCTTATAACCGGATGAGCTGACCAGCTGTCACCGCGTGTGCAAGTCACGTGACCTCTGACTGGCCCTTGCCCCCTGATGTAAAGGTAACAACTGGTGAACAAGCCGAGACTTTTTCGCTTGTTCTTTCAATCTCGTGTGCACTGATTTGAGGTTTGTACGTAGGCCGGATTAGGACAAATGGTTCGGCCGACTGTGCCAATCGAAGACCAACTCTCGAGCACGTCCAACTGTCTCCTCATTGGCTTGGTCGATGACTCTTGCGGTAGGATGTAGTTATGCAACCCCACCTGGTGGACATAATAATGTTGGCGTCGGGGTTAGGGGTTAGGACAACTATTTCTCAACCACTCAAAGTACAACCGCGCATTCGCAATAGCTTTTCTTTTGCATACAACTACTTGATCTCGTTCGCCTGTGCGTTCCCCGACGCCATCTGTAAAAACCTCTATTACTAACGGTCCTGTATTATAGATGGCTGGGATTCGTTTACCTCAGGTGGGGCTACATAACCGCATCTGACCATTCTTACTCTCCCGAAGTCGAAACTGTGCCTCGACAGTTGTATGTGGCCATATACCAGTGACAGTTTATACTCGAGGATGACTGCAAGCTGGTGCCCATGCTATCTTGTGCAGAGGCGTTTGCCTGTTTCACCAACCTACCTCACACTACAATGTTGGCACGATAAGCTGTAGACCACTTTTGATAGTACTGTTGCCGATAGTGGGTCTTAGGGTCTCATTATTAGCTGTCTGGTAGTGGTAGTTTATCGGCAACCCCAACCCCGACTCCGGAAAGTCATTTAGGTATGGAGTCGCGAACCTAATTTTGACATTTCACTGTTAGATCGTTCACAGGTAGGCTTTTTTATGCACTCATGTATGAAAGATCGTGGATAACCATTGGTTATGAATGGTGAGTGTAGATATTTTGCTTCCTCCTTTTTCGTGTCGTTGTCGCTTTAATGTGCTTAAAACCGTCGGAAGAGAGTTCTAGTACAAATACATCTGTGGCGAATGGGGTGGTTGCTTTGGAATAACAGATTGCGTCTAGAATTCGTTGCCTTACAATGCACCGAAATCCCTATCTTCCCGTCTGTTATTTTTATACCACATACAGCAAGAAAGGGAAACTGGTTGCTGTTTCCTGGCCCAGTGTAAACTGTCGAGAACGATTGAGTCCAGTGCTGCCTTCAGTTCCTTCCAAATTGAAGCGATGGTCGCATTCAAGGGCCTGCGCAAACACGAGTGACAAAGGGTCACGTCGGAGGACGGCTAGTTTATGTTCTTTTATACGCGTCTCAAGTCGTCGGCCTGTATGACCAACACAGTCGCAAGGGCAGTTAACACACGGAATGCGGTAGATGACATTGGTTTGCTGCTCTTTGGGTATAGGGTCTTTTACTCGAGATAGTGTTACGCGCAGGGAGGACGCCGGCTTGCGGGCAATGAAGATGTCCCACCAGTTTAGTTGTTGGGCGATCGCTTCGGAAATGCCCTGCATGTAGGGTAGAGAATAGAATTTCCGTAAGTTTGGTCCCTCATTAGAACCAACGCCTTGTGTTCGTCTCTGATGTCTGAGACGATTGTTCACAAAGCTGACCGGGTATCCGTTGAGCCGGAATAACTGATACAAGAAAGCGAGTTCTTTCTTAAGTAGATCACCACTGCTGTAGTAACAAAAGGCCCGGTGGAAAAGGGTTTGGACACAGCTCTTTTTTCTAGTCGCAGGATGGTTATTTTCATAATTAGAAATGACGTCAGCACTGGAGTCTGCCGAATGAGGCTGGGAGGCTACTTGCACGCAAATACGGATTTCGGGTTTTGAGTGCCTTTACATCAGACGCCAACCATCGTCTGTGCAGATTCAATGCAACAATACCCGATTTTCGAAACCAGTGTGTCTCATCATCGCCAGAAAAGGTATTCGGAGACGTGCTACAACGAATAAATGCCACTGCGTTGAACGCCAGAATGAAAAAGCGAACGGATCTCCGAGTGAAACTACAATCTCTCGTTCGCCCTGTCAACGAAATCAGCAGATCGACAAGAGTCGTTAATATTTCTAAAAGGATTCAAAAATCCGCTAAACTTAGTCAACTATCCAAAGGAGCAAAATTCAGCCACACTTATGCTGCGCCCATTTTATTGACCTCTTCTGTGACTGAAGATATGCGCGCAGACATACGCAGCTGTGCCGCTGGTCTCCTTCGATAAAAGAAGCATTACCAAATCTTGCCCATCGATGAATAAAAAGGAGTTATAGTTCCTTAAGACAGACGCCAGTATAGTGATAGTGTCTGGTGACAAAGATGGCGACACCGTCAACGTGGAAGAGAGCGATTACATCAAAAACGCCGACCGAGTCTTTAACGGCAGGAAAGTCTACGCAGCACACGCGGAGGACCCAACTAAATAGCAAGCCGCAGCTGTAAAAAAGAAGCTGAATGAACTCACTCGACCGAAACTCATAATTCCCGATGACTCCAGGTGTATGACCCTCAACGACCCCTGAATAGCCCATGCACATGTCCTCCCAAAAGTGCACAAATGTGCGCCATTGAAGATTATAGTGCCGCTTATTGGATCGCCCACCTGAAGCACCTCATCAATGGATCCCAATATAGCATCAAAAACTCTCAGGAATTTCTCCAGAAGATCCAAGGCCTCAAATTAAGTCCTGATGAGTGCTTTCCATCATTTGATGTGGTTGTCCTGTTTTCCTCAACACCACATGACCTGGCGATTTAGAGCGTAGCCCGACGCCTGCAAGATAATCCAACCAGCATTCCAATACAACACGTTTCAAGGATGCTTAAACTCTGTCTCAATAACTACTGCCATTTCGATGGAAAGTTTTATTTACAGGTTAGGGGTACACCAATGGGCTCGCCAACATCAGGTCTACTAGCTGAACTGGTACTACAACAACAACTGGAGAGGAAGTTATGCGAACCTTTAAACCAAAATGTGGCTCCGATACGTAAATGATACGTTTGTTATCATGAAGACCTGCGAAATTGGGCGATTGCATCAGCATCTGAATAGCGTCTTCCCAGCTATCCAGTTTACTCGCGAAAACGCAAGTGGAGGCATTATCTCGTTTTTAGACGTTAGCATCCAAACACTTAGTGATGGCGGCCTTGCAACTAGCGTCCACCGAAGACACTCCAGTGATGACGTCATTCTTAATTATGAAAGTAACCATCCTGCGGTTCATAAAAGGAGCTGTGTACGAACCCTTTTCACCAGGCCTTTTTTACTGCAGCAGCGATGATCTACTTAAGAGAAAACTCGCTTTCTTGTGTCGGTTATTCCGGCTCAACGGATACCCGGTCAGCTTTGTGAACAATTGACTCAGACATCAGAGACGAACACAAGGCGTTGGTTCTAATGAGGGACCAGAACTGCGGAAATTCTACCCCCTACCCTACATGCAGGGCATTTCCGAAGCGATCGGATGGTGAGATCACATCCTTTCAAGGTTCGCATTACAGGTTTTGCGATTTTTCTACGCAAGGCTAAACGACTTTGTCCATTTGCGTAGGTAGTGTCTTAGTTTTTTTAAAGTATTTAGTAAGACATTTCCTGCGATAAATTATTTCTAATGGTTGTCTACTTTTTGACGGTGAGTCTGTATTCGTGTTACCTAATTATTATTTCGTCATAATTTAATGTCTCGTCTCTTTGTAAAATGACGTACGGTAAAATTTATCCTTTTTTCTTCCCTCTGATACAGCTATACTTTCTCTACGATGGACAATGCGTCTACCGTGGTCCTGTTAGGTACCTCGTTCCTTACCTCACCTCACAGAACCTTCACTGTCCTCGCTATCATAATCCATCAGACTTTTGTAAGTGATAACTGATTATCTACGACTATTCTTATAACTATCTCACTCTCGCTGGAAAAATTCCTCGTTTGGGATCTAACTGGCGCCAGGTGATTCTGCCAGCTTAAGCGAAAATTCGGTTTTGTTTATAGGAACAAGTTGTCTCCCCACATTTCAAATATTCGAGAGGAGGGTCTTCTTGCAATCTTGAAACTTCAAGGGTTTATGCTGTGTGCTGAGTTCCTCAAGAGAAAGCCATTTCCAGTTCGCTCTAGAAATAACATTTGAAACACGACGTGTTAACATTAATTTTACATGAAATGCACTTAACCAAAATGAAAGTTCGATTTCTGGAGCCAATTCTGACCAAAGTAATTTGATGCACCGATGCATTCTGGCAAACCGAGTCGTAGATAAACGATGGGACCTTCTGCTAGATGAACTATTTTGCGTAGTTAAAGAAATCTGGTTCAGTGAGCATGGATCTGTGCTAACCTTCAGAGTATGGTATCTTAATCACCACGTCAGGGTGTCGGGGAAGACACACATTGAAGAAATTATGGATCTGATGGTTCTGGCCTTCTCCGAATGCGTAACCCATCGGCATTATTATACCACCCAGCTTTGTTTCGGAGCCCAAACAGCTAAGGGTCACTCACCTTCATCGCGGATGTTTCTCCTGGAAAGCTGCCTCATCCTTTTCGAGACGCGCTGATCCGTAGTCAATCGACCGACTTAGGCACGGGCACACTTATGTCCAGACAGTCAAATTCGTTCATGCCTCACTTGGTGCAACATTCACCACTTGAACGCAGGGTGACCACTTCTCACGCACTGGAAATCATGCCACTTGAACGGGGGCTAGCTTTTTATAACTCCGATGCAAATATCAAAACAGTTGACACCGGAGATGCCCTCTTCCGCTTGGACATGAATCAATGGCGTCAGCACACGGTCTGGTCTCGCTAGCGACCGCCGCTGGTCGAGGGAGAAAGTCGGGGTGTTGTGCATGATAGTCCCTCATTTTGGTGTCTTTCCTCTCCTCCCGATAATAGTGACCTGGTTTGGTGTTTGTGGCGCTCAGTCTTTACGCCTTATCTTAGCACTACATATGCATACCGCTTTCTTCTTCTTCTTCTTCTTCTTCTTCTTCTTCTTCTTCTTCTTCTCATTCTTCTTCTTCTTCTTCTTCGTCTTCTTCCTCCTCCTCCTCTTCTTTTTCTTCACGCCGATAAATTGGGACTCGCATATTGGCCTCTATTTATGTCAAATATTGCGCGAAATGTTGCATGATTGCTCATGCTGCTGATCCTCAAACGCAGCTGGGTCAGTGTGTCATTTCCTTTACATATCGGTTTTATTCTCCTGTTTGCCTCGATTTTTTGGTCACATTACCGGAAACTAGAGGGTCATCCTGCACTCAGTAAAGAAGAGTTGATTGGAGCTACCTTTTATGCCCAACGAGCTTTCCTGTTTTCTCCAGACGAACTGAACGTTGCTGCGTTTTCGGTTTATTGATTGAGTTTCACATGTCTGGGTGTTTTGTTTGTTCGTTTTTGGGTCCTAATGATGATCAGAGTTTGCGTTTGGACTCAGAAGCAACCGTCTTCCATTAGTAAGTGCTAGATGTTTTTCCTTAACCCCAAAGTATCTCCACATTTGGCCGGTATTATCTTAGGTGTTTACTCCATCTCCTCCCGTTCCATATATTTTCAATCCTAGTGATGGACATTGCGTCCGGGGGCTCCAGTGGGGGTCTGTCGGTGTTGCTTAGAGCTGTCGTCGATGGCCGTTTGGAAGAGGAATTGGAGAAAATCAGGCGATCGTCTCCGACCCAGGTGGAGGACCATGGGCTCTTAGAGCTCGACTCTGCCCAATCCTCTACGTCCAAGGCACAACCTCCCCCAATGGACGACAACCTCAGTCGCGCCACACCACCAACCTCCAGTCTCCAACATCTTGTAAGCTCTTTTCAGGACGAATTGTGACCTAGGCTTTACCTCTGTACTGGTGTCGATGCTGCCCCTAATCATGTGTGCAACCTAACCCATATATGTGAGGCCTACTTGTTCTACACCAGCACGCCTTCCTCTTGTTTGTGCAGCCTTTCAACTAGACCCAGCCCTCACCCGGGACTGACCAAGCTCAACCTGTTTCTTAATTGTGGTTCACACGGTGCTGTCCTGACTGTTGTACGCACAATCTATGCGTGAAATTTATGCCATTCTGTCATCTCAACCGTAGTTATTAGTTATTTGTCACACAGTACTGTCACCTAACATGAGCTCAATTTGTGTGAGAATCGCTCTACGCGGCTCAAGTAAGGATGATTTTACTGTAAGTACCTTTCTCTACGTGATGTTTGCGTGCGTTTGTTACTATTTCTGGGCAAGTCCGTGCTTGATTTAGGCTGTTTAAAGTGGGATAAAAATATACTAATCAAGTCGACTGTAGGCAATATCGGAGGCAAGTTTCAAGCGCACTCTTCCTCAGACACGGGAGCTTTGTGTGCTCAGTGCTTACAATTTCATCGCACTCACATCAAATTTACCATAATGGTGCCTGCATGCACACAGCATATTTGGACAGAACCTTTTTGGAAAGATTTGAATGACCAATAACTTGGGGGCAAGGAAGATCTGATTTGCTTAGAACTCTACTGAAGTACACAGAACCTATGATGTCAATAGTATGGTGGACCGTAAGAATATTGAGGGAGACAACTTTTATTAAAACAGAGTTCTTACAGCAATGGCACCGGCTTTCCAGATTTACCTGACAACGAGGATAACATGTCACATATTCTACCAACCGATGGCCACCTTTTTCCATAAGTGATTGAAATCACAAAGTTTGTCCCGCTTGCAATTAATGAAATGTATACCACATGCCTTGAGGTGTAGTGGTTTGGCACAAATTGGACTCATTTTGATGGACCGCAACAGCTGTGTTTGGGCCGGTTTCCTTATAACATTCTTTCTTTCTACATGCTGTTGCTAATCTCCACAAAGTATCGCCTGCCGTAATACCAAACGGTTATGCTACACGTGTTAGAGGAGGACTTTGCGATAAGTCACAGCTCCCGCTCTTTATCTCGGCGCCAACCTATCTGAGTCGAACAAGTCACATGAGAAGTAGGGAAATAAAAGTGAGACTTTGATCCCATGTTAGTTTCCTCACCTTTAACGCGACACAATTAACTTCGGGGATAGAGTGAGGTGACTTTTACTCGTTTTTTCCTCGCTGCAATAAAAATCAGGGCTCAAGTAACCGCCTTTTCTCTAGGATCGTCGTATACGACGAACGAAATCTCAGTTTCCGGTTTGTGTCCTTTATACAGAATTGCTTACTTCAGTCTGTACAAACAACATAAAAGCACTACGACTCTTTATCAAGGGCTTTCCTGCGCAAAAGATCCTTCCAGTTAAAATAAAGCTTCTCCGAATAGCTGCATGGTAAAAGGCGTTTCTATAATCCTCTCTTTCTAGCTGCTTACACTGTTCTCTAGTGGCCTGATGCCCTCCGAACTATAGTGGGAGCCCGTGCCCACGGCTCGTAAGCACTTGCGATTAGTATCATCCTGCTTATTGAACATCGCAGGGACGGGCTATTTAGCTGTCTAGTGCCTGCGTGTAGTCGATATGAAGTAGAAGCGATCGGTGGAACAAAAGCTTCAGTTGCCTGCCGTTTCGAATTCACGCTCAAACCCATTATCAGAGATAGTGACAGATACTGTCTGTCACTGTCTCCGATGATGGGTCCGAGCGTGAATCCGAAACTTCCAGCGACTAAAGCTATTTTTCCACCGATCGTTTCTACTTTTTATCGACTAACTCCTGGAAGGCGCATCTTCGCTTGTATCAGCAGTTATGATAGTCGTCAACAGAGGATCCTCGGGATTTCTCTGACCTGACAACTAAAACCCCGCAGTGTCCTAAGAAGCGGTAATTCCACAGACTTCGATGTAGGTAGCACAGATTGCGTGATCATTTGATGCGGCGTTGAGGGGCCGGTCTTAGCCTGCCCGGATTGAAAATTTGGACTAAACTCCAAAGAAGAAGCGCTGGGCAAGTGGATTCAGGCTGTGACGTCTTAGCGAGCGCGGAATGAACTGCTAAGCTGTTGTAGCTATTTTCGTCCTGCGTTTTCTCACTCGAGCAAGTCGAACTGCTGTTACCGCCAGTCTGTTGAGTTTGTCTCGGCATCATTTCCACACTTGACGCCTTCATCTGTGAGATTTGCTGCTGACATACCTTCTATCTCGACCGCTACTCACCTTTTGGGCGTGGACTCGCGCATCAGCAGTTTTACCCGCTGATGTGTGTTTAGGACATTTGTCTTTTGCCACCGATTCTGCACCCACCACCTCCCTCTCCCAATATTCAACTTCCCCTAATTCTAAATGCCCCCACGAGCGCTGCTATTTTGCTCGTTTTCACTTAGTCTTTCTGCGGTCATTATCCTCAGCCACACTCAACCCGTGACAGCAGGCAGCTGGTTAAACCGCAAGCGCGACTATCAGTCGTCTTACTCGCTGTTCGCCTACCCGCCTATCCCCACCCACTCGACGTTGCCATGTAACTTAGATGTAGGATTCCGTGCGTTTTCTCTGATGGTGGCCGCTGCTTACTTGATATTGGCTAACTGCTATTTAGTTGAATTATGTCGAGGTGGGCTTGTGGGGTATCACCCTATCTCCCCTTTCCCATCTAACTGAATTTTAATGAAAAAAATTGGAAAGGGAAGGGGCCTCTTGGCCAAACAGGCATATTTCCCCAGTCTACGTGTGCCATAGTTCCTGACTGGCCCCTATCTGCTGCCGAATCAGACTCACAGACCCAATTTTCCACGGAATTTCTAGCAGTGGTTTCCAGTTCATCCCTCGAGCTGAAGCCGACCACCGCTACGTCGGGGGAGCAGTGGTAACTTGCTCGTGAACCGGATTATGCTGAAGGAGACTTGTTCAGCATCGGCTCCTCTTCGTCTCCCGTCGTCCTCTCACGCGTAATATTTTAATGGTAGGACGACTATAGGTGAACTTGGGCTCACTGACTCATCGGACATTTGTCCTAATCTCTCATATAACGCGCTTGTTCTGGCCTCTCAATCAACAACAGCCATAATGGTGATAGTTGCCATAAGACCGCATTGATAATGACGCCGATTTATGGCCCCATATCAAGTTATTTTGCCAGTTACAAATCCTCCAAGTCGTGCTTTTTAAGGTTGCGTGATAGCTCAGGCGCGCGCAGATTGAATTATACTGAGGAGGGGCTGCGTCGGGTCACTTCCTTTTCCCCTTTTCACCGTAAATGCGTAGCAGAACTGAGTCAAACCGACTGGCTGTGTGTATTGCACGCTAGCTTACAAGAACCCGTGGCGCGATTGGTGACGCGGTATTTACTGCCTAATCCTCTTCCTAGGCGTTCTGTCTGCCACCAGTCGTATGCCTTGAGGTAGAGGAAACCACGTGGATTGCTATGAGCAGCGACATCCTATGGACTTGACATGTAAATGTTCGAAAAGTCATCTGTGTCGCTATGCGAGCGGTTCGCATTCCTGCCTCTCTTATCTAATCTGCATCTTTATCCGTTTCCGAGTTCCAGCATCCGACCGTACACTTCCTAGTGTCGCTTTTACGCGCGAGCCCCAGCCCCTATATGTGATGGTTGCATGTCTGCAAGCGTCTAGTGGGAACGGCTGTTTGTACGCTGGTTGAGCTCCGCCCCTGAAACAAACTCGGGTAGTCCCAATCGCGTCTGTTTAGGCGTTCACACCCAGCACAGATGTCAGGTCGGGTTTCTACTCTTCATCCATGGGACGTCGGTCACCTAATTTTCTCAATTTTTAAAGGGTAGAAGATTTGCTGATTCTGAATATTAAAAATAGGAAACCTTGAAAACACTAACGCAGATTAAAATCACAACTTTCTTAATGGGTGACCAAAACATGATCACCTCTTTTTTGTTGAGAGACCGTACCCTGTCCCGGTTTATTAATGTATCGTATTACAAGTTGGTATCTTGCATATACAGTGATCGATCTCATTAAATGTTTGCCGAAATTCTTAAGTGCGTCTTCGACTTAGGTGGGGTTGCAATACTAATTATCACGCAACGTAATCCTGTGATATTTCGGACTTGCCAGATTGTCGGCTTCTTAGTGCACTTCTTTTCGACCTCCTGTATAAACGGCATTCGGTAAAAAGTGACTTCTTGAGTGGTATGCGTTTTTCACAGACTTTCGATAGCCCTATGAACTCGGATGCTTTTTATAGAAAGCAAACACAAAATATGCCTTCTTTTACTCGCTTGATAGCAAATCACGTCTTTCCATTTTATAACCCAAAGGAGGATATATTCAGGTTTCAAAAAGTTTCAAAGTAGAAGATTTTTTAAGACCGTGCAACGTCCATTTACCTGTCCGTTTATTAATGCTCCTCATAGAGTGTACAGCATATTCCGCATCCATTGCAAAATTTGCGAGCTCTACATGGTATCTTTTTAAGGGCCTAGAAGAATTTATGGCCCTTTTACGCCGGAGGTATACGCCTTGTAGACTGGAATCGTTAAACGCTAATGCTGCGGCTTATCTGGCTCAAAATTATTCCGTAATTGGAAAACATTTATGACATTCCTTTGAGTATCAAATTCGAAGAAAACGTGATTTAATACAAAATGAGTTCAAAAGCGTGCTTTTATGCGTTTTATCTATAAAACCTATTGACGTTCATAAGGCCATCGGAAAACAAATGCGAACAATGCATACCATTTAAGTAGCCACTTGTTGCCGAATGAAGTTTTTACAGGAGGTCGAAAAGAAGTGCATGCAAAAGCCAACTTTCTGATAAATGCGGAATATTATGGGATTTTGTCACGTGATGATTAATATTGCAACCCCACCTAAGTAATCCTTCTGAATCGAAAACGCATTTTAGAATCCCGACTGATATTTCACGAGATCGGTCACTCACTGTAACTCTTCTAATTCTTTTTTATGGAACCTGCCCTTTTTCGTCTCTCATGCCTCACTCTCATCTCTTCTCTCCATGTAGCCTCTGTACATGGTAAGCAGCCGTTCAGGTTTTACCCCGTTTCCTTCCCCTCTCCTCTCCCACTCGGTTTCCACCTGTTCGACGGCATCCAAATTTGAGCTTCATTAAATTACATTAGTCGCCTTTGAATTTTTCTTCCTAATTCATTTAGCACGATCAATCGGGTCACGCCTTCGAAGTCGGGCTCTTCCACCAGACTAGCGTACTCTTTCGTCGAACAATGATATGCATCTGGCGTGACACGGTTTGTCTATTTTTTATGGAAAACTTGATCCACCTCTGACCTTATAGACTTATCCATATTATTAACTCCATCTTGATCATTTGTTTCTGCGGTTTCCTTAACATCATCACTAAAAGCATATTACAATTTTTGGGGTTTTCGGAGTTGGGGACAATGATGACGCACGCTCCTGGTGCCGTTGGAGACATATGCGACTACCTTAGGAGTTGAGCGACCTATAAATTCGTACTGCTTCCTTTCCTTTCCTCTTTAGTTGGATTGTTTTTCTCAAAATTCCATTTTCTTGGTTTATATCTAATGCGAGTATTCGTATTAATCTGGGCGGCTTCGCAGGACAAACTATGTACAAGAAAACGTCTGTTTCGAGATGCCTTGATTACTGCTGAAAATGGTTTTTTTACCGTACTGATGCCACTGTTTCATTCAGTGTGCCGATCCTTCAGACTGCTTCTGATTTTATGTTGGCCGCGGAAGTTATTCCTGTTTT